CCAACCTGGAGGAGACAAAGGCATGGACAAGCTTCTCTGCAGCCGGGAGAGAGAGAGAAGAGCGGAGTTTTGAAATATTACGGAGGTGGAAGAAGGAAGTTTTGCAGATGTGATGTATGTGATTTCCGAAGGAAAGGTGGGGGTCAAACTTGACCCCGAGATTGGTTACAGAGGGAGAGAGGGGAATGCTGTGGCCAAAGAGAGAGATTGAGGTGATGGGAGAAGAGTGAAGTTGATGGGGAGTACCAGTTTGAATGGCTTCTGTTTTTGAGCCATTCAGCTGCAGGAAGTTTTGCCTCATCCATGCCCCTATCTCCTCCAGGCATGAGGTAAGACAGGAGAGAGATGCAGAGGGAGGGGTGGATGGAGTGACTTTGAGATAAAGTTGTGTGTCGTCAGCATAGCAATGGAAGTGAATTCCATGCCTGCTGACGACACACCCGAGGGGAAGCATGTACATGGTGAAGAGGGTGGGACCGAGCACGGAGCCCTGGGGGACCCCACAGGTGACAGAGTGGGGGGGAGATTTAGCGTCCCCCAGAACCACATGCTCGGTTCGGTCAGTGAGGTAGGAGTGAAACCAGTGGAGGGCAGTGTGGGAGAGGCCAATGTGGTGCTGGAGACGATGTAAAAGGATGTTATGGTCAATGGTGTCGAACGCAGCAGTGAGGTCGAGAAGAATGAGGATGGAAGTGGAACCGGAGTCAGATCAATGTAAGATCAATCCGTCTGATCATCAAAATGTAATATTTATTTATAATTATGGGTTGAAAGTGCTGGAAACGGCAAGTCTTATGTGTCTCTGAAACAGTGAAACAGTTTTTGTGTTTTACAATTGTTATTTTTCTTGCTTATTTTCTGCCTGAGATGTTGCTGCTGTTCAGTGTTCATGGTTTTACACTGGTCCAGACCAGAGCATAGAGGATTCATAGTTTTACACTGGTCCAGAGCAGAGAGGATTCATGGTTTTACACTGGTCCAGACCAGAGCAGAGAGGATTCATGGTTTTACACTGGTCCACACCAGTGCAGAGAGGATTCATGGTTTTACACTGGTCCAGACCAGAGCAGAGAGGATTCATGGTTTTACACTGGTCCAGACCAGAGCAGAGAGGATTCATGGTCTTACACTGGTCCAGACCAGAGCAGAGAGGATTCATGGTTTTGCACTGGTCCAGACCAGAGCAGAGAGGATTCATGGTCTTACACTGGTCCAGACCAGAGCAGAGAGGATTCATGGTTTTACACTGGTCCAGACCAGAGCAGAGAGGATTCATGGTCTTAGACTGGTCCAGACCAGAGCAGAGAGGATTCATGGTTTTACACTGGTCCAAACCAGTGCAGAGAGGATTCATGGTTTTACACTGGTCCAGACCAGAGCGGAGAGGATTCATGGTTTTACACTGGTCCAAACCAGTGCAGAGAGGATTCATGGTTTTACACTGGTCCAGACCAGAGCAGAGAGGATTCATGGTTTTACACTGGTCCAGACTAGAGCAGAGAGGATTCATGGTTTTACACTGGTCCAGACCAGAGCAGAGAGGATTCATGGTTTTACACTGGTCCAGACTAGAGCAGAGAGGATTCATGGTTTTACACTGGTCCAGACCAGAGCAGAGAGGATTCATGGTCTTACACTGGTCCAGACCAGAGCAGAGAGGATTCATGGTTTTACACTGGTCCAGACCAGAGCAGAGAGGATTCATGGTTTTACACTGGTCCAGACCAGAGCAGAGAGGATTCATGGTCTTACACTGGTCCAGACCAGAGCAGAGAGGATTCATGGTCTTACACTGGTCCAGACCGGAGCAGAGAGGATTCATGGTTTTACACTGGTCCACACCAGTGCAGAGAGGATTCATGGTTTTACACTGGTCCAGACCAGAGCGGAGAGGATTCATGGTTTTACACTGGTCCAGACCAGAGCAGAGAGGATTCATGGTTTTACACTGGTCCAAACCAGTGCAGAGAGGATTCATGGTTTTACACTGGTCCAGACCAGAGCAGAGAGGATTCATGGTCTTACACTGGTCCAGACCAGAGCAGAGAGGATTCATGGTTTTACACTGGTCCAGACCAGAGCAGAGAGCATTCATGGTCTTAGACTGGTCCAGACCAGAGCAGAGAGGATTCATGGTTTTACACTGGTCCAAACCAAAGCAGAGAGGATTCATGGTTTTACACTGGTCCAGACCAGAGCGGAGAGGATTCATGGTTTTACACTGGTCCAAACCAGTGCAGAGAGGATTCATGGTTTTACACTGGTCCAGACCAGAGCAGAGAGGATTCATGGTTTTACACTGGTCCAGACTAGAGCAGAGAGGATTCATGGTTTTACACTGGTCCAGACCAGAGCAGAGAGGATTCATGGTCTTACACTGGTCCAGACCAGAGCAGAGAGGATTCATGGTCTTACACTGGTCCAGACCAGAGCAGAGAGGATTCATGGTTTTACACTGGTCCAGACCAGAGCAGAGAGCATTCATGGTCTTAGACTGGTCCAGACCAGAGCAGAGAGGATTCATGGTTTTACACTGGTCCAAACCAGTGCAGAGAGGATTCATGGTTTTACACTGGTCCAGACCAGAGCGGAGAGGATTCATGGTTTTACACTGGTCCAAACCAGTGCAGAGAGGATTCATGGTTTTACACTGGTCCAGACCAGAGCAGAGAGGATTCATGGTTTTACACTGGTCCAGACTAGAGCAGAGAGGATTCATGGTTTTACACTGGTCCAGACCAGAGCAGAGAGGATTCATGGTCTTACACTGGTCCAGACCAGAGCAGAGAGGATTCATGGTTTTACACGGGTCCTCTCTCTGGTCTCTCTCTGGTCTCTCTCTGGTCCCTCTCTGGTCTCTCTCTGGTCCCTCTCTGGTCTCTCTCTGGTCTCTCTCTGGTCTCTCTCTGGTCTCTCTCTGGTCCCTCTCTGGTCTCTCTCTGGTCTCTCTCTGGTCTCTCGCTGGTCCCTCTCTAGTCTCTCTCTGTTCTCCTCACTGTAAAAAGTGTTACTTTAATCAAATTCTGTAAGAGGTTCCATCGGCCTTTTTGAGTACTATCAACTTTAGCTCTTTATTAAGTAATAAAGAATATTAAATTCAATTTGACAGAAAGCAAAACTATTACTTTGAACTGATGGATTTTCTTAAAATGTGTGTGTCCTTTCAAAGCAAAACTAACTTGGAGATGATTAATATACTCAATATTTTTGTATTCATTCAAAATGAACCTTTCTTCCACCTGGAGAAAGTTTGTTAGTTTGTGTAATCCTTACATTGTGCTTTTGAACTCTGTAACTCTCTGGGGAGTAAATGTGTTGCAACCCGTTTAGGACTTGTTTTTAAGCATCATGACCATGTTGTGGTATCTGATCTGAACCCAGGCAGTACAGGCCTAGTTTGGCTCGGCCCTGTCGATCACGGTTGGTAAAAATAAATACAAAAGACTTACTTGATCAAATTAGTTTATCTAAATGTTGCTCAAGTATTTTGCTTTAGGACTTGCTTCATATTCATTCTTAAAATGAATGCTCAAATGTAGAATTTTTAAGAAGTTTATATTTTGCTCTGCAATGCATTCTGGGTAGCCTCACTGCTTCGCCACATTTTGTTTTCAATCAACACAATATATTTGTTTTGTCATTAATGGACCACCAGGCTTATAGAAGAAATATTTAAAGTATTTTCACTTAAAGCAATAAAATCAGTATTGTAGAGGGTGCTATGATAATATTATACAGTACTTATTTGTTAACCAAAAATATAGAATAGTGGAAAATGAAGTATATAGTAATTACTTATAATATTTTACATCAAAGTTTGGTCTGATTCACTTATTACAGTGCTTCTCTCTGGTCTCTCTCTCTGGTCTCTCTCTGGTCTCTCTATGGTCTCTCTCTGGTCTCTCTCTGGTCTCTCTCTATGGTCTCTCTATGGTCTCTATGGTCTCTCTCTATGGTCTCTCTCTATGGTCTCTCTATGGTCTCTATGGTCTCTCTCTATGGTCTCTCTCTATGGTCTCTCTCTGGTCTCTCTCTGGTCTCTCTATGGTCTCTATGGTCCATCTCTGGTCTCTCTATGGTCTCTATGGTCTCTCTCTCTGGTCCCTCTCTGGTCTCTCTATGGTCTCTATGGTCTCTCTCTGGTCTCTCTCTCTGGTCCATCTCTGGTCTCTCTATGGTCTCTATGGTCTCTCTCTGGTCTCTCTCTCTGGTCTCCTTCGGTGATGGTCGACTCTTTAAAGCACAGACGGTTCTTTAGGGACAGGTTGAAAATGTTTGTAAAAACAGGAGCACAGTTTCAGGACCCGAGGAGGGATGTCGTCCGGGTCTGGGGCTTTCCGGACTGAGGTCCTGGATCAGACCCGCTGGACTTCCTGCTGAGTCATGGAGAAGGCACCTGATTGAAACAACCATGGACTCTCTTTAACCCGTCCCTTTAACCTGTCCCTTTAACCCGTCCCTTTAACCCGTCCCTTTAACCCGTCCCTTTAACCCATCCCTTTAACCCGTCCTTTTAACCTGTCCCTTTAACCCGTCCCTTTAACCCGTCCTTTTAACCTGTCCCTTTAACATGTCCCTTTAACCCGTCCCTTTAACCTGTCCCTTTAACCCGTCCCTTTAACCCGTCCCTTTAACCCGTCCTTTTAACCTGTCCCTTTAACCCGTCCCTTTAACCCGTCCCTTTAACCCGTCCCTTTAACCCGTCCCTTTAACCCGTCCCTTTAACCCGTCCCTTTAACCCGTCCCTTTAACCTGTCCCTTTAACCCGTCCCTTCACGAGGAGACATAATCAAACCAGTCCATGGCAGAAGCTCTGAACAATGTCTTTATTGATTCTGTGAATGAACTTGCATTTATTTTGCATAAAGAAGGTGTCTCGTGACAAAGTTAAATAAAAATCAAGATGAACATGAGCAACTCGATGTCAAAAGACATCCATGATCTTAGATCTTGGTGAAAGAGACCAAGTATTTAGGAATATTTAAAGTAGGGACAGTAGGTCAGTTGGCAGAGCACAGGTCTTTGGGACTGATTAAAAACACACAGATACTCTGTTAGAGCCCATCACACATCTGGTAAATCTGTCAATCCGGTCCAATACATTCCCAAGTTGCTGGAAAACGGCTGTAGTGACACCGATCCTCAAGACAGGCCAAAAGGACACGCCTAACACAGGCCTACAGGCCTATTTCCATCCTTCCTGTTGTTTCTAAAATCTTGGAGAAGGTAGTTGCAGAACAACTGGTAGAGTCAAAGCAGCTGCTCCATCCCCTACAGTTTGGGTTTAGACAAAGATACAGCACGGAAACAGCGAACTGTCACCTGCTGGAACAGATCAAGAACAGAGTAGACAAAGGTCAAGTGGTTGGTGCTGTGTTTTTAGATCTTAATAAGTTTGATACTGTGGACCACAGTGTTTTATTGAAAAAACTGAAGCCTTGAAGTACACGGGAGTACCGCAAGGCTCCGTGTTAGGACCACTGCTGTTTTCTATGTACATAAATGACCTCCCAAACTGTTGTCATGGTTTCAACTGCCAGCTCTATGCAGATGACTCAGTTATTCACGTGCCGGCAAAGACCTCTGCTCTAGCTGGGCAGCAGTTGACTGAAGCCTTGGTAAATATTTCAACTTGGCTTCAACAATCACAATTGACTTTAAACGTCAAAAAAACGTTTCAATTTGTTTCTCAACTAAAGCACAATCGTCAAATATTTTGTTTGAGACATTTATAGACAATGAAATAATTGAAGAGGTGAAAGAGACCAAGTATTTAGGAATAATCTGACAACAATTTAAAGTTCCAAAGTCAGGTGAAAAGTGTGTGTAAAACAGTCAAGTCAAACTTGAGCTGCTTCCGCTTCATAAGAAGAGAGCTGTCGTATGACTGTCGGAATGATATTTTCACATCTCTCCTGTTGCCTGACCTCGTGGTCGCAAACTCCACAGACAACTCTAAAGTCAGGTCCCTGTACAACCATCAAGGTCTACGACAGGAAACCTTTGAGGTGACATCATTAAAAAACATAAACTTTTTACATTTGAACATTTTGTAAGCTTTTGCACAATGAAATGGTTTTTTAAATGTTTAACTGGTCACGTTCCACCGCTGCTCTCTGGTCTGTCAGACGCCAAGGCTCTCGAAGGCCTAACACCAGAGCCTCGGTCAGTGGGGGCTGTCTGGTTCCTAACACCAGAGCCTCGGTCAGTGGGGGCTGTCTGGTTCCTAACACCAGAGCCTTGGTCAGTGGGGGCTGCCTGGGTCCTAACACCAGAGCCTCGGTCAGTGGGGGCTGTCTGGTTCCTAACACCAGAGCCTCGGTCAGTGGGGGCTGCCTGGTTCCTAACACCAGAGCCTCGGTCAGTGGGGGCTGTCTGGTTCCTAACACCAGAGCCTCGGTCAGTGGGGACTGTCTGGTTCCTAACACCAGAGCCTCGGTCAGTGGGGGCTGTCTGGTTCCTAACACCAGAGCCTCGGTCAGTGGGGGCTGTCTGGTTCCTAACAGCAGAGCCTCGGTCAGTGGGGACTGTCTGGTTCCCAACAGCAGAACCAGAGTAAAACAATCAAAGTGTGGTTTATTATTTCAGTAAATGTACATATACAGGAAATACAACCGTCAACCGCGTGGCGGGTCTCGAGTAGATCTGACGACTGCTCACTCTCTCCCGTATTTAAAGGATGGAACAAACAAAAGAGTCTATCAATTGGAGTCTCTTAGTCCGAGATGAAGTGGTAACAGTCGCTCAAAACCCCTCTCTCCTGACGTCTTACTCTGATACGACTCTGATACGACTCTGATACGACTCTGATACGACTCTGATATTACTCTGATACGACTCTGATACGACTCTGATACGACTCTGATATGACTCTGATACGACTCTGATATGACTCTGATATGACTCTGATATTACTCTGATACGACTCTGATACGACTCTGATACGACTCTGATATTACTCTGATACGACTCTGATATGACTCTGATATGACTCTGATACGACTCTGATATTACTCTGATACGACTCTGATACGACTCTGATACGACTCTGATATGACTCTGATATGACTCTGATATGACTCTGATATTACGAGTAGAATGACCGGGGCACCGTGCTCCTTGGACCAGATTCCAAGCTAGCATCTCTCCCTCTCCCGTCCCTGGCCTCGCGCTTCTACAAAATCAATAGATTGTCAGATTGACCTTTGTCCCAGAGTGCATGATTCATTATTAGATTCATTCTTGAGTTAAATTGATTTATAATCCCTGTTAAATTTCTACAACAGAACCAAACTGTGGAACGCTCTTCCCACTGACCTAAAACTACAAACAGACAAAAACATCTTCGTCAGACGTCTGAAACTGAAGACATCTGAAACATCTGAAACGTTGTTCACATGGTTAATGAACTGTATATTTAATTACTTTTATATTTGTACATTTTAAATGTGTGCATTTGTGTCCTAAAAGCCTTCTGTGGACAAGTGTTGAAAACTAGCCTGGTCTTGCTCTAACACTAAAGGCATCTGGTCTGTCCAATGTAACTGTTATTTATTTACATCAAATAAATACATTTAACCTGTTCCTTAAACTTGTCCTGTACCTGTGCTTTGCAGATTTAATAGAACGATTCAAGAAGCAACAGAATATCTTAAAAGCGACTGCATCATCAGATTGAAACATGAAGTTTCAGTTTCACTTTGTTGGTCCTTTAAACTGTTGCTTAATGACCTTCTGTGGGACACAGCAGTCACGGCTAAAGTGAAAGTGAAAGTATCAGTCACAGCGACACAGACCTCAGAATCATCTGTGTTTGGACATGTTCTTATGAATCACAGACACAACACAGACTGAGATCTCAGGCCTCCTCCGTAATGAACACAAATCACTAGAGGTCCACAGGTCATACTAATCCTGAACAACTTAAAAACCTTTGCTCTGATCTCAGTGGAGCCAAAGAACACCTCCAGTTTGACCGACCGATCCATGCCTTTGCTGGTGTCTGGCATGGCCACAGTACAGCAGGCCACAGGACCCTCCACCCCCCACTCATCCACGTATGTCACAGACTTCCTCTCAGTGCGGTAGAACTCAAAATCCATGACTGTTTGATTTTCTGTGATTGGCTTTAATATGTATTCTACACTTTGGTTCCATCCCACATCTTCACCTATTTCCACTAGTTTTCCAAACAGGTCGTCACACCAGTCCCCGTCGGCGTTGGTCAACTTCTTCTCTGGTTTATGTATTCTTGGATCAAACCTGCGCATCTTGACGTAGCCGTACGTGAATGCGCTCTTGCGAGAGCGGATGACCGCCTGGTCTCGTGCGAACACCACAGCTCCCTTCAGAATGGCCTCCTGAGGGTTCTTAGGGCACAGCACTCTGGCCCGGTCACTGAACTGTTGGCGCACATGGTCACAGAGGATCCTGCTCTGAGAGAAACCTCCCACTAACAGAATATACTGTATCTGAGAATGTGAGTCCAGGATCTCGCACAGACTGTCAGTGATGTGGACCAGACTCTCATGGAAGAAAGACTCCATCTTCTTCTCTGAGACGCTCAGTTTGTCCCCCTCCAGCTCCACACCTTCCATGGGTTTGAACAGAGAGTCGCCCTCTTCCTGAGACTTTTCGATCCTTTTTAACTTTTGCCTTAAACTTCTGTCGATGTGGGTCTTATAAACACGGCTCTGTGGGGCCGCATGGTAAATGAAATCCTCCACAAACGTCTGAGCCTCTTTGGGAAACTCTCTCTCGTAGTCTTCCCACAGACCGCCACAGAAGAACTCTCTCAGACACTGGTTAAACCTCTTGTTCACTCTTCGTCCTCCTTTGTTGTTTCCTGATGCTTTGTGCAGCTCTTTAAGGGCTCCCCCTTCAAGGACTTCATGAACTGTAATGTCGATGGTTCCTCCTGAAACACAGAAGATCCTTACAGCTGTTCTAGTATGACCTGTTGTCATGGTGACCGTCACGTTACCTCCACAGTCCAGCACCACGTACTGCTCGCCCTCCTGCAGCTGCACTCGCTCCTGTCCGTCTCTGATGAAGCCTTTGGCTGGAAGCTGTTTGCACCAAACTGAAGCAGCCTCTGGCTCCAGAGCAATCAACAGTTTGTCCTCAGAGGACGAGGACACGATCCCAGTCTGAGGACATGAGACCAGAGAGACCAGAGAGACCAGAGAGAGACCAGAGAGAACAGGGAGAGACCAGAGAGAACAGAGAGAGACCAGAGAGAGACCAGAGAGAACAGAGAGAGACCAGAGAGACCAGAGAGAGACCCGAGAGACCAGAGAGAGACCCGAGAGACCAGAGAGAGACCAGAGAGAGACCAGAGAGAACAGAGAGAGACCAGAGAGAGACCAGAGAGACCATAGAGACCAGAGAGACCAGAGAGAGACCAGAGAGAGACCAGAGAGACCAGAGAGAGACCAGAGAGACCAGAGAGAACAGAGAGAGACCAGAGAGACTAGAGATAGACCAGAGAGCGACCAGAGAGAACAGAGAGCGACCAGAGAGACCAGAGAGAGACCAGAGAGAGAACAGAGAGAGACCAGAGAGACCAGAGAGAGACCAGAGAGAACAGAGAGAGACCAGATAGCACAGACAGAGACCAGAGAGACCAGCGAGAGACCAGAGAGAGACCAGAGAGAGACCAGAGAGAGACCAGAGAGAGACAGGAAAGAGACCAGAGAGAGACAAGAGAGAGACCAGAGAGACCAGAGAGAGACCCGAGAGACCAGAGAGACCAGAGAGACCAGAGAGAGACCAGAGAGACCAGAGCGACCAGAGAGACCAGAGAGACCAGGGGGAGACCAGAGAGAGACCAGAGAGAGACCAGAGAGACCAGAGGGAGACCAGAGAGACCAGAGGGAGACCAGAGAGACCAGAGAGAGACCAGAGAGAGACAAAAAATTGAGGGAGAGAGAGTAAGACATAAATGTAATATTGATGGTGAAAGTACTGTTGTATCTTGGGGTTTCCCGCACAAACCAGTTTAGTGTTGGAGAAGGAATTCACTTTCAGCCTGGGTCAGCTCCGAGAATGAGGATGGTAGAAATGACAAAGAACACATTAAGCACAGAGCTCTTATAGATGCGCAAGGGCAGGATGTCATAAATACTTGTCAATAATCTTATAGACTAGTCCCGAGTCTGAGCCTGAGGGTCTCTCTACAGGCTCTCATTGTCCTTCTAGACGTCCTAAGACACAATTATAACCAAACATGCATCCACAAGACATACATGAAGTCTATTGACACAGACGCTGCTGAGATGCAGCTGGGGGTTTTATTGTCTCCAACGTTACATTGGCCTTATGATTTAGATAAGTGACTTCCTGCCATTGCGTGCTCACATTATCCCAAACACAATTTTACACATATGAAGACACATACATACTTTATATTTATGTAGAATTAAAGAATATTAATAATAGCAGACACAACAGTACCCAGACCCCCAGCTTTAAACTGTTTCTATGACGATTGTGGCAGGAGCAGAGCCGACTGCTGAGATCCAGAAGCTGCAATACCGCGGTTCGGCACAGGGGGGCGTGGTACAAACCTCGACAGCAGCGTCTCTCATGAACTGTCGTGCAGCGTTGTCCCAGATGGCCGGCACCGTGAGGACCCAGCTGAAGTCTGCGGCAGTGAACCTCGTTCTGTTGGACTTGTTGATGGTGTTGATGGTGTTGAGGGCGTCGTCCTTCAGAAACCTCAGCGCCGCAGAGAACACCGTCAGCGCACTCATCGGACGCTTGTTCACATCGTGGATCATCAGATCTTTTGTGATTTTCTGCTCAGGAAACACACACACACACATGTAAAACCAACTACTCACCATCGTACTCATTTCATTTCCTACTTAAGTCTGGATTTGCTCCATTGACTCCGTTAACAGGAGGGAGGGTTACCTCCTTTTGCAGATTGAAAAGATTGGTTCAGAGTTTACCGTGACATATGTAACGTGCCCGAGGGAGTGAGACATTTAGCCTAGCTTTAGCATTTAGCTCAGCTCCCTCTTCACCACGACGGACCGATACAGCGACCGCACGCTGCACCGATCCATCTATCAATCTCACGCTCCATCCTTCACCCACTCATAAACAAGACCCAGAGTTACTTGAACTCCTCCACTTGAGGAAGGATCTCTCCACCCGGAGAGGGCAAGGCACCTTTTTCCAGTCGAGCACCATGTCCTTAGATGTGGAGCTGATTCTCATCCCAGCCGCTTCACACTCGGCTGCAAACCGTCCCAGTGCATGTTGCAGGTCCTGGTTCATTTGAGCCAACAGGACAACATTGTGAGTGTGTGTGTGATCCTATGATATTTGGAACACACCCTCCCCTTCTTGTAGAGAGGGACCACCACCCCAGTCTGCCACTCCATTGGCACTGCCCCCGATCGCCACGCGATGTTGCAGAGACGTGTCAGCCAAGACAGTCCTACAACATCCAGAGACTTCAGAGTCAGGACAGATCTCATCCTGGAGCCTTGCCACCAAGGAGGCTGCCAACCACCTTGGTGACCTCAGCCAGAGAGGTGGAAGTATCCGCTCCAACATCCCCAGCCTCTACCTCCAGAACGGAGGGCGTAACAGGAGGATTGAGGAGAACCTCAAAGTATTCCTTCCCGGCCAACAATATCCCAAGTTGAGGTCAGCAGCCCTCCACCCTACACGGTGTTGGCAAAGAACTGCATTCCCCTCCTGAGGCGCCGTACAGTTTGCCAGAATATCTTCGAGCCCGACCGATAGATATGTTCCATGGACTTTCCAAACTCCTCCCAGTCCCGGGTTTTTGCCTCTGCAACAGCCCGGGCAGCTACAGCAATCGGTGATAGAGGAAGAGAACCTGGTCCACTCAGACTCGATGTCCCCCTTCACCGCCGGGACCTGGGAGAAGCTCTCCCAGAGGTGAAAGTCCGTCTGACAGGGGGCTCAGCGAGTCGTTCACAGCAGACCCTCACTACACGCTTGGGTCTGCCAGATCTGACCGGCTTCCTCCCCTGCCAGCGGATCCAACTCACGAGCAGGTGGTGATCGGTTGACAGCTCCGCCCCTCTCTTCACCCGAGTATCTGAGACACGCGGTCAAAGGTCAGACGACATTACAATAAAGTCGATCAGTGACCTCTGGCCTATGGTGTCCTGGTGCCAAGTGCACTGGTGGACACCCTTGTGCTCGAACATGATGTTCGTGATGGACAAACTGTGACTGGCACAGAAGTCCAGATCAGGGGGGCTGTTCTTCCCAATCACCCCTCTCCAAGTGTCACTGGCATTTCCCACATGGGCGTTTCAGTCTCCAAGAAGGACGAGTACTCTGCACTGCTGTAAGGCTACGTGGCGGCTGAGATAGGGGTCAATGAGTATGGCCACCCCAGCTCGCCACCTCACCCCGCGAGAAACACCAGAAAAGGTGAGCGTCCAACCCCTCTCAAGGAGTTGGGTTCCAGAGCCCAAGCTGTGTGTGGAGGTGAGGCCGACTATCACTAGTCTTACTAGGTATTTCTCAACCTCCCCCACGACCTCGGGGTCCTTCCCCCCCAGTGAGGTGACGTTCCACGTCCCAAGAGCCAGATGTTGCGTGTGTGGACTGGGTTGTCGAGGTCTCCGCCTTCGGCTGCTGCCCAGTCCTCTCTGCACCGAGCCACGGCTGATCCCTCTGTGGGTGGTAGGTCCACAGGAGGGCCTGCCGACGTTGTTCTTTCGGGCTGAGCCCCGTGGGCTATTGGTGCTTTCAGACCGGCAACGCTGAAACGCACATTCTCTAGTTTTCCTACGCAGGGGTCTTCAGACCAGAAGTCCTGGCGCGCGGGGGAAGTGACGGAAGTAGCCGGCGGGCTCTGATGCTAACAGAGTTTAGCTAGCGGCTTCTTGTGTACAGATCTTCTCCAATAATGCAGCTTTGAAGCGTGGCTGTGTTCAGAGACCTTCCACGGACTTTATAATACGTTTATTTTATTATTAAACAGTACTTCTGCATCGGCGAACACACCCGAAGCAGTTGCATAAAGTCACTGGAGCATGACAACGCATATATTCACAAGCACTATGCCCCCCACTAGGGCCGAATCCGAAACTACTCCATCCTCAGTCCATTAATGTTTCTTTCGCAAATGTTTCCTGCGCAAATATTTTAACAGCGGCGATGTTGTGTACTGTTTAGGGTCCTGACCACCACGACACACATCAGCGTTGCAGATTGAACATGTAGCTCGACTAGAATCACCTTCTTTGGACTGAAAGTTCTGCCAAACAACACTTTTTCTGCTCACAAGTTCCATTTTCACTTTCTCACTCACACAGCCTGAGCTACTGTATTCGAGAAAAATACTTTTAGTAGGCACACAGCGAGCACCCAGATGCGTTCAAAGGCACGAGGAAATGAGGCTAACACATACAGTTTTTATTCTTGTTTAGATTCACTGTCCTTTACTTGTTTAATCATCATACACCTGTTATGTCCCTGTGTTGTATTTCTGAAATTATTATTCGGAATAAAATGGTAAACTGTCTATGTGTTTCCCACATTTCCGTGTGCCTTTGAACGCATCTGGGTGCTAGCTGCCGGCTACTAGAAGTATTTTTTTCTCGAAGCTTTTTTCCTGCCATTTCTCGTAATAAACCTTGATGCACATGAGCACAAATCAATAATATAATCTGTATATAACAACACAAACTGTTTACATGTTTATTTACACTATTTGACATCCGCAAACTGAACTTCCGGACAAATCCGGTTTCGGGGACGAATCCAGCAGCCACACATGGATCAATTAGCAGCCACAGTGTAGTGTAAGCAGGGTTCGGTTCGGTGGGCAAAAATTCAAAGGTTTGCCAGAAACCGAACCCCGTCAAAAAAAAGCCAATATTCGGCCGAATCCTGGATTCGGTACATCCCTATTGTCAACCCTGGTTTAGTCCTGGTTTAGTCCTGATGTAGCTCCTGTTTTGGCTTGCGAGCCCCAACCCCAGACCTGGCTCCAGGGTGGGGCCCCGGCCGGGCGACATTACTAATATTTTTTTAGTGTGATCCATGATGGGTTTTGGTCTGCGCTCCAGAAAACATAGATCCCAGGATTACTCGAGTACTCAATCTCCCCCACCACATGGTACCATGTATTAACAAAATAGTAACTTGACATACAATGAAGCGACATTCACACAAACGAATGAATGACCATCAAGCAACCACACAATGTACAACTTATGTGTTCACATGTTATTCACCAGAGAGAGACCAGAGAGAGAGACCAGAGAGAGACCAGAGAGAGAGACCAGAGAGAGACCAGAGAGAGACCAGAGAGAGACCAGAGAGAGACCAGAGAGAGAGACCAGAGAGAGACCAGAGAGAGAGACCAGAGAGAGAGACCAGAGAGAGACCAGAGAGAGAGACCAGAGAAAGACCAGAGAGAGACCAGAGAGAGACCAGAGAGAGAGACCAGAGAGAGACCAGAGAGAGACCAGAGAGAGAGCAGAGAGATAAGAGAGACCAGAGAGAGACCAGAGAGAGATAAGAGAGAGACCAGAGAGAGAGACCAGAGAGAGACCAGAGAGAGACCAGAGAGAGAGCAGAGAGAGAGCAGAGAGAGACCAGAGAGAGAGCAGAGAGAGAGACCAGAGAGAGAGCAGAGAGAGACCAGAGAGAGACTAGAGAGAGAGAGCAGAGAGAGAGACCAGAGAGAGAGCAGAGAGAGAGCAGAGAGAGACCAGAGAGAGAGACCAGAGAGAGACCAGAGAGAGACCAGTGAGAGACCAGAGAGAGAGACCAGAGAGAGACCAGAGAGAGACCAGTGAGAGACCAGAGAGAGAGACCAGAGAGAGACCAGAGGAGCTTTGTGGTCATGGGGGCAGTTCTTCTGTACGATGAGAGAAAGTGGAGCTCACCTTTTTATAAAGACTCATCTTAAAGTCTGTAAAGTAATAGTAATCTGTGGCGCCTGTCTTCATTTTGAAGAACTTCTCCTGAGCCTCGTATCCAAACGCCTGGAGCTGAGCGTCCTGGTCCAGCAGGAGACACGTGGGGGTCTTGGAGGTCTTCACTCCCAAACGTTTCATCCACAGTTTCACTTGAGGAACCATCTCTGCAGTGGAAGGACTCAAGCTGAAGGCAAAACCACTGAAAGACGTTCCAAAGTCTATAGCAATGATGAAAGACATCTTTAAAACCAGCGAGAGACCAGAGAGAGACCAGAGAGAGACCTGAGAGAGACCAGAGAGAGACCAGAGAGACCAGAGAGAGACCAGAGAGAGACCAGAGAGAGACCGGAGAGAGACCAGAGAGAGGCCAGAGGGAGATAATTAGGAGCTAACATGAGACTGTGCAGAAAGAGAATCCTTCAGAGCTGCCAAGCATAGTTTCAACCACTTCCCCATTGCTGCAGCAGGTGTGTGTGTGTGTGTGTGTGTCCTTGTGGGTGTGTGTCCTTGTGTACTTCTGTGTGTGTGTGTACTTGTATGTGTGTGTACTTGTGTGTCTACAGCGTGTATAAGATTAAAGTCAGGTTCTGCAGGTTTAAAAGAAACACTTTTATGTCTGCACAGGTTTAATAATCATCCAGGTCTGACTAGAACTTTGTCCCACACACACTGAATACACACACACACTGAACACACACACACACACACACACACACACACACTGAACTCACACAGACAACACAAGACTTTTTACAGTGATTTTATTTCATCAGGAGTTGCTCAGAATAAAGGATGAAGACCAGGATTGAGCTGAGACTGACCCAGACTGACTTTAAAGCTCGGGTCTGTAACTTTAAGACCACAACAGATCTCAGCCCCAAAGAGGCAAAGAGTGACTCACAGGGATCTTTCTCACACAAAATATGTTCCCTGTGTTATTTATGAGACTAAAGTTACAGACCTGAGCTTTAAACATGTGTTATTTATGAGACTAAAGTTACAGACCTGAGCTTTAAACATGTGTTATTTATGAGACTAAAGTTACAGACCTGAGCTTTAAACATGTGTTATTTATGAGACTAAAGTTACAGACCTGAGCTTTAAACATGTGTTATTTATGAGACTAAAGTTACAGACCCGAGCTTTAAACATGTGTTATTGATGAGACTAAAGTTACAGACCCGAGCTTTAAACATGTGTTATTTATGAGACTAAAGTTACAGACCCGAGCTTTAACAAGGTAAATGTATATATTATTGATTGTACACAGCGCCCCCTAGCGGTCAGGACTCAGCAGGGCCAGCTCGCTCCTCCCCGGGCTCAGGTATGTTGTGGTCTCGATCTCTCCTCCTCCGTTACTGGGCTTCTGGAAGTAGATCTCCAGCTGGTCCTGCACCTCCTCCTCATCCCCAGTGTCTCTGCTGACCAGGAGGAGCACGGAGCGCTTGGAGGAGGCGCAGAAGGTCTGGAACACCAGGAGAAAAGATCAATGATGGAGAGGGGGCCTAGAGAGAGACCATAGAGAGACTAGAGAGAGACCAGATGGAGACCAGAGGGAGATCAGAGAGAGAGAGCAGAGAGAGAGCAGAGGAAGACTAGAGAGAGATCCGAGAGAGACCAGAGGAAGACTAGAGAGAGACCAGAGGGAGAGACCAGAGAGAGACCAGAGAGAGACCAGGGAGAGATCAGAGGGAGATCCGAGAGAGACCAGAGAGAGACCAGAGGAAGACTAGAGAGAGACCAGAGGGAGAGACCAGAGAGAGACCAGAGAGAGAGACCATAGAGAGATAGAGAAAAGCTTAATACCGGAGAGCAGAGGAGGCAGAGAACATTCACCTGGAAGTTGCTGAGTTGATGTTCCAGCACTGGAGCCAGATGGACTTTGGTCGTGGTCTCCAGCTCCACGGTGTGACCTCCTCCAGAGGTTAACCACTCTGCCACTGAAACAGCATCACATGAGTCTCCAGGTCACTCACACATCAAGGATTCTCCAATAAAATCATATTTCTCTTTCTCATTTCTCTCTTTCTGGTCTCTAGTTTCTTGCTGGTCTCTCACTGGTCTCTCTTTGGTCTCTTGTTGGTCTCTCTCTAGTCTCTCTCTGGTCTCTCTCTGGTCTCGCCCTGGTCTCTCTCTGGTCTTCCTCTGGTCTCCCTCTGGTCTCTCTTTGGTCTCTCTCTGGTCTCTCTCTCTGGTCTGAAGCACCGCCCCCTGGTTGGCTGAGCTGGACTCGGGCCGTGTCTCTCTGATGGTCCATCTTCACAGACGTCACCTCCGCTCTGCTCCACTTCCAGGAGAGAGCGGGACATACACAGACACACACACACAGAGACACACAGACACACACACAGAGACACACACCAATGTGTTTTCTATTCTTTGTGTTTGAACTGTTTGATTCTCTGATCTGATGAGGTCCCTCTCTTGTCTCTCTGGTCTCGCTCTGGTCTCGCTCTGGTGTCTCTCTGGTGTCTAATTCTGGTCTAATTCCGGTCTCTCTGGTCTCTCTCTATGGTCTCTCTATGGTCTCTCTATGGTCTCTCATGGTCTGGTCTGAACATGATCCGGTCTGAACATGATCCGGTCTGAACATGGTCCGGTCTGAACATGATCCAGTCTGAACATGATCCGGTCTGAACATGGTCCGGTCTGAACATGATCCGGTCTGAACATGGTCCGGTCTGAACATGATCCAGTCTGAACATGATCCGGTCTGAACATGGTCCGGTCTGAACATGGTCCGGTCTGAACATGGTCCGGTCTGAACATGATCCGGTCTGATCATGATCCGGTCTGAACATGATCCGGACCTTCAGTACCTTAAATGTTTCTGCAGTTTGTGGTTCATGTGCTTCAGTTCTGCTCTGTAAAAACACAAGGTCAAAGGTTAAACACAGACATGAATCCGGTCCCAAGATCAAAGTCACATATTTACATTAGCTTTTTGTTTTTCCCTCGGAGATCGTCGAGTTGAGAAACACTGTGAACAGAGGAGACATTAAGACAAAGGAGGACGGAGGATGGAGCAGCGTCTGAGCTCCGAGCACCTGTGGAGGCTCCTCTGCAGCTGCACTCTGAGCGCTGTCATCGCTGAGAGACCATCACTGAGGAACACAGAGCAGATATGAGGAGTGTGACATCACCACAGAGTGACATCACCACAGTGTGACATCACCACAGTGTGACATCACCACAGTGTGACATCACCACAGAGTGACATCACCACAGAGTGACATCACCACAGTGTGACATCACCACAGAGTGACATCACCACAGAGTGACATCACCACAGAGTGATCTCACCACAGAGTGACATCACCACAGTGTGACATCACCACAGAGTGACATCACCACAGTGTGACATCACCACAGTGTGACATCACCACAGTGTGACATCACCACAGTGTGACATCACCACAGAGTGACATCACCACAGAGTGACATCACCACAGAGTGACATCACCACAGTGTGATATCACCTCAGTGTGACATCACCACAGAGTGACATCATCACAGAGTGATATCACCACAGAGTGACATCACCACAGTGTGACATCACCACAGAGTGACATCACCACAGAGTGACATCACCACAGAGTGACATCACCACAGTGTGACATCACCACAGTGTGACATCACCACAGAGTGACATCACCACAGAGTGACATCACCACAGTGTGACATCACCACAGAGTGACATCACCACAGAGTGACATCACCACAGTGTGATATCACCTCAGTGTGACATCACCACAGTGTGACATCACCACAGTGTGACATCACCAGAGTGTGACATCACCACAGTGTGACATCACCTCAGTGTGACATCACCTCAGTGTGACATCACAAGAGTGTGACATCACCACAGTGTGACATCACTACAGTGTGACATCACCAGAGTGTGACATCACCACAGTGTGACATCACCTCAGTGTGACATCACCTCAGTGTGACATCACAAGAGTGTGACATCACCACAGTGTGACATCACCACAGTGTGACATCACCAGAGTGTGACATCACCACAGTGTGACATCACCTCAGTGTGACATCACCACAGTGTGACATCACCACAGTGTGACATCACCAGAGTGTGACATCACCAGAGTGTGACATCACCACAGTGTGACATCATAGTGTTAGGAGAAGATTTTTTACAAAAGCTGTTGCCAGTTTCCTTCAATGGGCATTTCACTTTGGAGAGACCCAAGAGGGAAAATGCAGTTAGAAGTTTGTTGATTGAGTATGTTTGGCGCCCTAGGCCCGGGAGAGATGCTGTTGAGTGCGGCGCTTGCTCGCGCGCATAATCCCCCCCGGGGCCTAGGCACTGGTGACGGCAGAGGCAGTAGGTAAGCACGCTTCAATGAGAGAAGGAGGAGGTGGGGCGGCGGAGGCTTGCAAACTTCAGAAGGCTGGGAAGTGGGCGTCTCCGGCTTTTAACTTGCTGTCCTGGTGGTTATTGGTGGACTAGATGTGGGCGTTTTGCTGGTGTAATGAGTAGAGGATGAGCAGGCTTGTAGATCTGGCAGCAGTGGCCGGGTCTACCACAGTGAACTTTCGCGAAGAGCTTCATTTCACTTTGGAGAGACCCAAGAGGGAAAATGCAGTTAGAAGTTTGTTGATTGAGTATGTTTGGCGCCCTAGGCCCGGGAGAGATGCTGTTGAGTGCGGCGCTTGCTCGCGCGCATAATCCCCAAAAACGGGCAGAGTTATCTTTGCGCGCCGGGACGTGAGCGCTCGCTTCACGATCAACCGGAACTGCCTGGGACGTGAGCGCTCGCATCACGATCGATACCAGACGCTGTAGCAGAGTTGTCTTTGAGCGCCGGGACGTGAGCGCTCGCATCACGATCAACCGGACGCTGCCTGGGACGTGAGCGCTTGCATCACGATCGATACCAGACGCTGTAGCAGAGTTGTCTTTGAGCGCCGGGACGTGAGCGCTCGCATCACGATTTAACCGGACGCTGACTGGGACGTGAGCGCTTGCATCACGATCGATACCAGACGTTGAAGCAGAGTTGCCTTTAAGCGCCGGGACGTGAGCTCGCATCACGATCAACCGGACGCTGACTGGGACGTGAGCGCTTGCATCACGATCGATACCAGACGTTGAAGCAGAGTTGCCTTTAAGCGCCGGGACGTGAGTGCTCGTATCACGATCAACCGGACGCTGACTGGGACGTGAGCGCTTGCATCACGATCGATACCAGACGCTGCGGCAGAGTTTCTTTAAAGTGCGTGCCGCCACCAGAATATATAGGTCACACCCAGAAGCTAGGAGGTGTGGCAAATACTGGAGTTTTTCATTGTAGTCATTACCATTTATAGTTTTCAAATAGTTACACTTAATTTCAGACCATGAACAGCATCAATGCTTCAAACACAAGAAAAAAAACCAAATTATAATCCAGTTCACAGCTATATTCAAATACAGTCACATGCCGCAATGATCTCAGCATAACAGCATACTACCCCTGTTTATACACTGTGTGCAGTCACATGCTCCTTAGTATGTATTGAGAATCTATTTTTTACAAATCAGTCATTGTCAACTCCATCTATGGCACTTGCTCTGATCCATGAGCCCAAGAACACCTCCAGTTTGACCCGAACCAGACTCCATGCCTTTGCTTGTCTGCAGGCCACATAACACACCCACAGACCCTCCACCTCCACCCCCCACTCCACCGACGTATTCCAGACTTCACTCCTCTCAAGCGGAATCTCAAATTCATACTCTTCTTGACCCTTTCTATTGGATAAAAGCTGTACTCCTTTATTTCATCCCTTCCCACGTCTTCATCGATTCCCACTAACGGTGTTAAACATACAATTACACCATCCCCCTCTTTAATGTATCTTACTCTTTGTTTAGACTTGTCGTACCTCACACTTGTTTCACTCCTCACTGAATGCGCTCTTTGCGAAACGATACCGCCTGTCTCTCTCAACACCACACTCCCTTCAGAATCCTCCTGAGTTTCTTAGCTCAGCACTCTCCCTCCAAAATTACTGATTGGCGCACAATGGTCACAAAATCCGCTCTAAAACCTCCCACTCAATCAAATTACTGTATCTGAGAATGAGATCCAGGATCGCGCACAACTGTCATGATGTCACCTGTACTCTCATATCAGACTTTCCATCTTGCGTTTAAGATCAGATAATTGTAACATCATGTTCCACCTAAACCTTATTGACAGCCTCTTAGACGATCTTTTGAAAAGACATTTTTTTTCACATGACACACCTTGGTTTCTGAAACATCTGGCCTTCGAATCTCTGTAAGTAAACTTAACAATACCGCCAAGATTCAACCTGGTCATCCATCCTCACTGCCCCTCTACCGTCTATGCGACCACGATTTTGCCAGCAGCCACAGACTAACTCAAACAGCTCATGCAAGCTATTTTCTTATGTTTCATTTATGATGTGACTCGAAGGGTTACCACACCTCCATCAATATTTCTATTCTAAAACTGACCTCCACAGTCAACAACACTACTGATCCTGGATCTGCTGGAACACTCCTTCATGTCTCTTACAGTCATGAAAACCAGCGCTCCGAATTGCGTACAACCATTACTGAAACAGCCTCTCTCCACCATTCTCCACATTTGTCCTAGAGCGACGAGGACACATTCCCACCTGAGCATGAGACAGTCATTAAGCAAAGAAAACACCAACCCCTCCTGAGACCAGCTCTCAGCACACAGAACTACAACATTGACTTGCTCCTCAAACGCTCGACAGCAAGCTCTTCTCATAACTTCAGCAAGTTTCCCAGATGCCCATCCGTAGGACCCACTGAAGTCTCGCATAACCTCATTCACACTTTGTTTCATAAATGATTTGGACGTCGTCCTTCTGAACCTCAGCGCCGTCAAAACACCTTGACCCGCTCCATCGACTAATCCCCCGCTCCATCACTCTTGATGGTCAAATCGTTAAGTATTTTCTATCAGAAACAAATCAACTTACATCACTGCAACTCTTAAACACTAACTGACACAACGCTTCCTCTATTTCTATCTACATGGACATTCTTAAGTCCGGCTTCTTAGAGAGCTTAATGTGCACTGAATCCAATTCTGAAAGAATTTAATCCTTTTGATTAGAAACACCTGTTTAGATTAATGACAATACTGTTAATGTGCCGTCAAGAACACCACAGACCACTGCCATCTTGAAACAAAACGCCACAAACAAACCACCACCTAATCGAACTCATGTCATTCGTTCCTGTAACACCAAAAAGTCTACCACACAATGGACAACTGTTTTTATAAACTGTTGACTGTGATTATCAAAAGCATTACAATACAGTCCTGTTAGAACAATAAACGTCGTCACATCTATAGCTAAATGTGATGAATCAAAAACAATAAACGTTTGACTACCGTATTGTACAGTTCCATTTTTGAAGTTCTCAAAAATAGTCTTGGCTGCATCTCTTTTGTCCACTCCAAGACTTAGCTTTGCCTCAAGCAAAATGCTTGAATTCCCTTGCAGCGTACAAACGCAAGGGTCTTTGGATGTTGTTCCTACTCCCGACACCAGCCCGCAATTGAACCAGCTCTCCCCTCTGGGGCATCAAGTAAACATAACCACTGTAAACCGTCCAAAAGTCAATGCAATAATTATTCCCTACCTCTCTCCAGTAGGGAAAGGGAGTAAGATCGCTTGTCGTTACAGTGCGTACTCTGCGAGTTTCCCTAGTCCTACGCTTCTACCTTTGCTGCAGGGTGAACCCTGAAATGAAATCTCCAAACAGTCCTTCCTGTCTCTCCATAAACATTCCGTCGTCGTCCTCCCAAATCGATTGCTCTGGACATTTTTTTTCTTCAGTCTAACTCCACCGCACCTTTGAGTGTGATTCTGTTTAGTCAAATTCCCCCACTGTGGATTTTTCTTATTTAATCTTATTCGAATTTTAACAAACTAATGGAATATTTATTATAAAATCTCGAACACTATAATACTAAAAACAATAACTTTCAACCCCTCAGCACCTGTTTCTTATTTAATCTTAGTCATTTAAAAACCTAAAGTGAATCATTTTATTATAAAAATTCCACATCAACTAAAAAACTAAAAGACAATACAGTATGACCCACTCTGTCACTTTTAAAAACTTTGTCGCACGAGTTCAAGTGAATGAATCTTCAAAGGGGTCCAAAAAGCACGTTATTATAAGCATACATAAAGTGCTTTTTGGACCCTGAAGATCATTCTCTCACTCTGAATAACAAGTGCTGACAATCTTAAAGTGCAGATGGCACACTATATTGCTGTCTTATTTTTTGTTTTAATTTATAATCAATATTCCACTTAGTTTTAAACATCAATATGATTAAATAAAAAACCGTCCTAGTCTGGTCACACTGATACTTCTTTTATTCTTTTGGTGAAGATTATAATATACTATTCCACTTAGTTTGTAAACATCGAAAAGGGGGAAATTAAATAAAAACTCCCACATGGGAAATTTGAATAAACTGAATCACCAACCACACCTCAACAGTCCGGATTCCAGTCCTACACCAATGCTCAAACCACAATGCCCCACCACATCGAGTCGGCGAAGACACAGAATGTTAATGAGAAACAGAAACTTTTGAGATTTCTCTTCAGTTCTACACCCCTCAGCACACACAGTAAAGACGCAGACCAGCCAAACCTCAACTACCACTGTACGACCACAGCACTCCCCCTCACCCCCTCTCTCCCACCTCTCGAAGAGATATAGATTACCTTATTCATTGATTTGGCACTCTTACAGTGGTAGGTTACACAATCCGCCCACAGCTGACCTGTTCCCCTCTGCCCTTCATATTCACAACAACACTCCAAAGACCCCCACCTCGTTCTGTTCGATGCCACGAACTCATCATTTTATACACCAAAATAATAACGTAATGACAAAGACCATGCTCAAGAACGAATTCTTTGAGAACTTCAAAAGAACTGTACATAATCATCAACCTGAATGTGACTGTCATCACAGCTTAATAATAACCACTTTATCTGTATAAACAAGCCACCCACCCCCCCCCACAACTGTATTCCTTTGCGTTGATCATAACACACTACAGTTTAAAAAAACATGGTCCACTGCTTCTGACACCCCCCCAACCACCCCGCCACAACCCCTTTAGATGTTACAGTACAGCATGACACCTGCACATAGATTTCATTGGTTGTTGATGCGTACTGCTTCAAATGCACGGGTTGGTCCTGCAACAGCACACGTTACAGTATTGTCCAAACATCCCACAGACAGCATTTCTCTAATCCGCAAAAATTAAAATCTTCCTTCTCCCCAATTTTATTCATGCACATCAAGCCTCCTCCAAGAACAACCACAATATGGTACATGTCAGTAAACCATAGAACTTGTTCAGAGGCTGTAACACTCTCCATAGGTAACCCACGTGACTTCTGTTTCCTGATCAAAAAATCACTAAAATCCAGACCATCAAAGTACGTGAGAAGCGTCCCAGATGACCCTCACGTTTCTCTGACGCGCTGAGTGTCCTAAAAAGACACGCCGCTCAAAACCCATCTCCAAGAACACTATGAATGATTCACTCCCAACTCTCACTCCTCAACGTGCGCCTCTGGACAACTCCTCTCGACATTTCTGAGAACGCTCTGTCGATTTGGGAGCAAATCCAACTGGGTCTGCTCCTATTTCTCCCCAGTACCTTCCGCACTGGGATGGTCTTCTCTTTCTGTTTATGCACATGTCCGCATGTCCCTCAGGCTAATCGTGCCTCTCCTCTCAGAACAACGGCGCATCGCGCTACCAAGCCTTCAGATTGGTAGGAAAAACTACCTCACAGCTTCATCACTGAAAACATAAGACTAACTCTCAGCAGACTCAGACTCAGTACACGTTGTGACTCGGTGGAGTCATTTCATATAAAATATTCCCTAGATTGTACACACCATCGATCACCAACTACAACATGAAACACCAAATTAATACCTCTGCATAGCTTTGATTTGTCCTGTCGCGGAAACATACGTCAACCATCAGTCTGCAAAGAAACCAGCTTGAATCCTTGGCCTTAATGTTTATTACTAACAGCAATTAGAAGGACCTGATAGATTTCCAACAAACACAGTTGTCATGTGAAAACATATGTCTCTTTCAACATCCTCTTTTAAGCGTCATTCTTGGTTTCAAGAACCAGCGACATTACATATCCCTGACTCTAAATAGCAAGATGAGTCTTGTCTTCCATGAATGACAGTCAGTGCACATCACGGACATCTGTTGAAAAATCCTGACTCTCAATCGCAGATTCATACTTCTGGTATGATTTTCTCTCAAACAGACCTTGTGGACCATGCGCCAACAGTTCAGTGACCGCGCCAAGTGCTGTCCCTAAAACCCTCAAGGCCATTCGAAGGGAGCTGGTTTCGAACGAACCAGGCTCAATACCGTTTCTACGCAAGAGCCGCATTCACGAACGAGTAGAAAAACATTTGGAGCGTACACAAGTCCAAACCCAAGAGTAAGATTACCAATACCAAAGGACTTTAATTCATTTTAATAAAGGATAGTGAATCGATGAAGACGGGGATGGAATGAAATAGATACAGCTTGTACTCCAATAGAATCCAAAGAGCGATGAATCCTTAGTCTACCGCACTAAAGGAAGTCTGGACATACCGTGGACTAGTGGGGGTGAGGTCCTGTGCCTGCTGTACTGTGCCCATGCAACACCAGCACAGGCATGATCTCGTCAAACTGTGTTTCGTTAGCTCCACGAATCAGAGCAAAGGCCACAGACCTTGAGTCGAACTGCACTCTTCTGTCAAAATAGACTTCACAATAAATAAACAGACCATGCGACCTGAAACCACCTGAAAACACAGGTCAATGAATTTCGTCGACTCACGGAACATGTGTCGGTTTTATGCCTGATCTGATTATACATATTGCTTTTTCTCTTGTGTTGATTCATTGTTCGACTTCACTCGCAATAATGTAAAATATTGAAAAGAATAAATGGGAACTTTCATGAAAAAACAAATAACATACAGTATTTCCTCCACACCCTCCCTCACTCTGGTCATAGAGCAAGCGGCTGCAGTCCAGTCTCCACCCCACCAATTATCACTGTGTATCTGGTGACTAACGAATGAGTTTCCTAAACTATCTTCTCGTGAACGTCTCACTACCTCGAAACACCGGCTCACCCTTCCTGGATAAGTGAGTGGAGAGAGTCTGCAGTCCACACCAATGTCTTGATAGCAAAAAACATGACACTTTTACAGCACATTTTGATGGTAATAATTTGTTCAGAGGATATGTGTGATTGACATTAGACTGTAAAAACATATGATTTATTCTTCACCCCCAATGTAAGCCCTTTATAAACAGCACACACTCCTTGTATCATCGTCACAGACAAAACCGATTGAACCAACAAGCACTATGCATTGCTGTGAAGGACACCACTCACGTTACATGACTTATTCTAGCATTTTTGCTTTTCTTTATCTTCGATCTTCTATACTAACTAATAATAAACAATAGCCTAGTGTGCACTTCATTAGCACATTAGACAACAACCTTCGCACCCTATCAACAAACAACACATGTTTCCTTCAAACACACTCAACTTCGCAAACTGGGTCACACTCCAGACAAGTGACAGCTCCCAACGCTCTTGAAACACGATGTATTTGTGATATTCAATAAATGACGACAATGGAGACCTCCCCGACACGACCGCCGATAGCACTGCGACCATTGATCTAAAGCTGTGTTTACCACAAGCTCGCATTTTAACCTTGCTTTTGCGGCGACAAACAAAGATGATATTTATACAGAATATGCTTGTACATACCCAGTTTTTGTGAGAACAGAACTTTGTTTTATAAATTAATTCATCCTCAATTTGTCACATACACTTACAGTTCTCTTGACATGAAATTATTTTAACTATTATAATCAAGTAACATCCAGTGTAAGTAGTCTTTAACACAGTGTAATGTGAGTCTGTAACACAGTTAATTAGGTCTGTAACACAGGTTTTGGGGCGGGGGGGTATTTAAAAAAAAAAAAATTAGAGTCTGTAACTAACTGCGGCGTACATGTGAGACTTAACATACAGATGTAATGTGAGTCTGTAACACAGTAATTAGGTCCTTAAAACACAGGTTAATGAGACTTAACACATTAATGTGAGTCTGTAACAACAGGTGTAATTATCTGTAACACTGATTAAGTGATCTGTACACAGTGTAACGTATCTCGTACACATTAGAGTCTTAAACTCAGTAATGAGTCTGTGTCACAGGTGTAATGTGAGTCTTTACACAATAACCGTGAGTCGTAACACAGGTAATTGAAAGTCTGTAACACATTAATGTGAGTCCTTAACACAGTGTACATTCAGTCTTGACACAGTTAATGTATCTGTGACCAGTGTAGGTAGGTCTGTAACACCGTTAATGTGAGGTATGTAAACACAGTGTATTTATCTTACACGGTTAACGTATCGATACACTCTATTACCCAGTCCAAAGAAATGCCTATTGAAGAAACTGCAACAGACGATGTAAAAAAGCTACTTCTACCATCATATCACACTGTCTGATTCACCCTGTTAGGTCACACCTGGTAATTCACCACTGTATTCACACGGTGTATGTCACACTCTGTGAGTCACACTTTTTCACACTGGTAGGTCACACGTATGTCACTCTGTGTGATTTAACTCTGTACACTCTTTCCGGTGATGTCACATCTTGGGATGTCACCTATGAAAGTCACACTGTGTGATGGTCACTATTCGATTCACACTGTGATTCACACTGTATGCACTATGATGTCACTCTTTATTCACACGTGGATTCTCACTGTTATGTCACACTGTGTGATGTCACTCTGTGGTGATTCACACGTGGTGATGTCACTCTGTTATGTCACTCTTATCACACCTGACGTAGTCACCTGTTATGTCACTCTGTGGGTGATTCACACTGTCGCTCGCGACGTCACACTCCACATATCTGCACTGTTATTTCCTCATATGTCTCTCAGCGATGAGCAGCGCTCAGAGTCAGCTGCAGAGGACCTCCACATCGCGAGCTCCACGCCCTCCATCCCTCTCCTCCTCCACACCTGTCCAATGTCGCCTCTTTCACAATGTATCTCAACTCGACATCTCCATGAAAAACAAAAAGCTAATGTAAATATGTGACTTTGATACTTGGACCAGATTCATGTCTGTGTTTAACCTTGACCTTTGGTTTACAGCTACAAACTGAACACTCAACTCAAACTCAGAAACATTTAAGATACAGAAGTAGTCGATCATGTTCAAAAGTATTTTCAACCTTTTAAAAAACTAGATATATTTAAAATACATAAATTTATTTTACAAAAGTTAAGAATCACGGACTCAAATTCTTCTTTCATGCCTCACACGTGCTGATCAACCCTCAGCAGAGAAATGAAATAACGCGTAATTCTTCTTGTAATTAAAAAAGAATGTCACGTCATCCTCGACGATACAAACTGAATGAGTTTGTTGTTGGTTATTCGTAGAATGTGTTGTGGTAACTTTTGTATCAGAACAGCATGGCGCACTAGTTTTTTTACTCTGCCCGAATGGTAAATAACGAACTAACTAAACTAACAGGAGGGGGCGGCGGGGAGGGGGGGGGGAGGGGGGGGGGGGGCGCGGGGGGCGGGTAACTTTAATCAGAGCTCTTAAAATATCACTGACTCGTCTGCCCAGGAAAACCTTGTTCCACTTGCTTCCTTCTGCAGAAGTGTATCATGCCGATGAAAGCAGACTGATGCAATCATTTCAATTATGCCAATGTAGTATTTTACGCAAATCTGCAAATAACATATCTAATATAATCAATTCAAACCTTACTGATGCAACCTCACAGAGTCACACCTCACAGAGTCAACCTCACAAGATTCAGACCTTCACAGATTTCGGACCTCACAATTTCAGACCTTACAGATTCAGGACCTCACTGGACGTTCAGACCTCACAGAGTTTCAGACCTCACAGACAGTTCAGACACTGACAGCGTGTTCAGAAACTCACAGAGTTCCTGGACCGTATACAGGATTCACCCTAACTGGAGTTCAACCGCACAATTCAGACCTACAACGCATTGCAACCTCACACATTTCTGACCTCTCAGGAATTCTGCAACCTTCACAGATTCACGACCCACAAGTTCATACCTCACAATTCAACCTCACACAATTCAACCCCGTACAAGTTTCGAGACCTTACAGGAGTTCAGGACCTCACAAGTTCAGACCTACATTTCAGACCTGACGACTCAGGACCTCACAATTCCAGGACCACCGGATTCAGACCTTACAATTACAAATATCTAACAATAATAATAATAATAAACACAGCATTCAGACACACAGCAAACACAGTCACAATTTCTCTCTCTGTCTGGACCAGTTAAAACATGATCCTCTCTGCTCTGGTCACCATGTAAAACCATAATCCTCTCCTCTAGTCTACCATGTAAAACACATGAATCTCTCTATCTGTCGGACCAGTTATAACCATGAATCCTCTCGCTCGTCAACCAGTGAAAAACCATAATCCTCTCATCTCTGGTCGGGACAAGTGAAAACCATGATCCTCTCTCTCTGTCAACCTTGTAAAACCATAATCCTCTCGCTACATCGTACAGACCAATTGTAAAACCATGAATCCTCTCTCTCTGTCTGACCATGCGTAAAACCATAATCCTCTCCACTCTGTCTGGACCATGTATAACCAGATCACCGCGCTCTTCTGGACCATAAAAACCATGAAACTCCTCTCCCTGCCTTGGTCTACCATTAAAACCATTAACACTAACGCAGCAACATAATTATCACCCAAAGATTCATAAGCCCAACCTTTAGTTCTGTTGCACACATTCTCCAACCATTTTACCAAAAGTTTCCATCTATACTCACCTGACACTCAAAAATCACCTCACAACCCTAACTTACGTAGACATCCCATTAACAAAGCAAAACATGAAAGACAACTCAAATAACCCATTGAACCGGTTCTACCATCAGGCACCGGCATCTCTTGAACTTGAAACTCAGTTTTTAAAACCAATGCAATTTAATTTTCATTAAATATATAACTTCTATTCTCTATTATCACTTCCAGAACATTCAACACACAGAATAAATAATATTACATTGGATGATCAACATTATCTTAGACATGGCGCAGTAATTACATATTAATCAAAATTTTAGACAACATGTATATTGAGCGTAGAACCCTATCTTTTACTATTCAGTCGACCTAAATCGCACACTTAGCTAATGTACAAGGTTTTTTAGTCAAGGAAATTGAGCACTAAAAACCGATGCAGACACAGAAACATAAACAAACGCTCACAGAAAAGACCGTGTCTGATCAAACACCACCACAATGACCCCAGAACTTCTATGTGAAAAAACAAGCCTTGCCCACATACTTCACAGATACCCTCGACCTAAGAGAAAAACACCCCTCATATTCATCCGTCTATGACGCGCCTCTGTTCTGTGTCTTAACGTTCTTTCTGTGACTGTCCTTGCTGTGACGTGTCTGCGTTCTGGACCTCTTTGTCCTGTGTCTGTGGACTGTCCGTGTCTGTAGGACGTTCCTGCTCTTTGCACTTTCTTGTCTCTGGACCTGATCCGGGCCTGACTGGCTAGACTAACGGATGTCTGGTGGTCTCGTCCGGTCTGTACTTCTTGTCTGTGTCCCTTCTGTATCGGTTTGTTCTCTGGACGTGTTTCCTGGAATCCCTCCGCTGATCCGTTCATTCTGTTCCAGTTGTTCTGCTGGTTGCACACAACAGCTCAGATCACGCATCAAACACAGCGACCGTAAGCAGCGAATAACTCTTTATTCGCATGTAATACTAAAAATAGAAGTAGATATAGTATTTAGCATATAGAGCGACATAGTTATAACAGAGAGAAGTATATAGTAGTTGCTTTATACATATTCGCATAGTAGCATATAAGAGCAGATTCATTCATGTTTTTTTGACATTTCGCTAAAAACCACATTGAATAAAAGTTTGAAAGTTCCCACACACGACTGTGCCCCTGCAGTAGCATATCTATACAGAAGCATTCAGAAGAGCGGCAGCAGCAGTAAATACATAGTTACAATAATAGGACCAGATATTTGTGAGCCATCTGATGAGCTCAAGCGCAGAGTCCCCCACGCACGCCGTCCCCTCCGCTGCTGTAGCCGCTCGTCTTTTCCAAATCCATCAAAAAACATTTTTTATTTTCTTTGCCTGAGAAAATTATACTCAACCACACTGTGCTCTGTCTTCAACCGCTCCATCATAGGTGACAAAGACAAGTCCAGTGAGAACCCTGTCCCAAACCCCGGCCAAACCCCGGCCAACATCAAGCCAAAACCCCAGCCAAACCCCCTCAAAGAACACCTTCACCCATCCTGCGTTGTTCACGCCATCTGACCCAAACAGTAACCTCCACCATCCGTCCCAAGCACGTCCCGCACCATCCACCCATAACTGTCCCTCACCTTCCACCCGGAATGAACGAGTCCCTCACCAGTCCAAAACTGAAGAACTAGTCCCTCACTCAGTCCGACCCGAAAAGCGCGATACTCTCACCGTCATGTAACAAAATTCTGAAATCACGGTTTGAGTCCTACTCTGTTTTATGCTTAGTTCACACTCGGCCTGAGACCGCCGGCGACTCGAACTGAGACTCCCCTGAACTCGCCCCTGAGACTCTGCCTTAACTCGCTAGACTCTCTAGACTCTCCTGAACTCGCCTAGACTCGCCTAGACGACGACCTACAACCGCATAGCACCTCCCTAGACTCCTCTAGACTCAACCTAGAGCGACCTAGCGCCTGAGACTCGCACTAGACCGCGCCTAGACTCGCCTGAACTCCGACCGGACTCTGTTGTGTTTAATGTTGTCTTAATGTTGTAATTTGTTTGTTGATGTTTTTTAATTGTTGTTGAATTTTGTTTGATGAGTGTTTGAATGTTGTTTGTGATGTGTGTGTTGTGATTGTTTGTAATGTATGGTTTGAGTTGTTTTTAGTCTTGTGTGTGTAATCTGTTGTGTGTTAATTTTGTTTGAATGTGTTGTTTGATTGTTGCGCTTTAATGTGGGTGTTGATGTGATTTGTACTGATTTTTTGTTAATGTTTTTTTGAATGTGTTTTATGTGTGTTGGTATTGTTGGGTGTTGTTTGTTGTTAATGTTTTTTTAATGTCTGTTGTTTTAATGTTGTTGATTGTGTTTTAAGTTTTGTTTATTGGTTTATGGGTGTGTTTTATGTAGTTGGGATTTTGGTGTTTACTGGGGTGGTGATTGTGTTCTTTTGAATGAGTGTTGAATGGTGTTTATGGTGGGTGTATTGGGGTTTTAATAGGACAAAACAAAATGTAGACAGTCCAGGTGAGAACCCTGGTCCAAACCCCAGGCCCAAACCCCAGCCAAACCCCGGGCCAAACCTCAGCCACACCCCGAAACAAACCCGCCAAACCTCTAACAAACCCCGGCAATACACCCCCAATCCCCCAAACCGCTCCTTACCCCAGCAAACCCCACGCAAAACCCCGGCTAAACCCGCAAACCCCGGCTAAACCCGGCCAAATCCAGCCAAACCCCAACACAAAAGGGTCATCTTCATCCAATTCTGCTTGCAGCTCCATCCGTCCCAAAAACATACCCCCCACCTATCAGCCCCCCGAGGATACAGTACCCCACTCCATCTCCCCAGAACATACCCCACACCATCAGCCCGAGGAACAGAACCCCACCAGTCACCTCCGAGGAACTATTACCCACCAGTCCACGCCGGAGAACGAGTACCCCACCATCACCCCAGAAACAAGTACCAACCAGTCATCCCCGAAACAGTACCCACCATCATCCCCAGAACATACCCCACCATCCCACTCAAGCACTTCACTGACGTACTGATCTCCCTCCTTCTGTTGCCTTTGTACCCTGTATATCCAGCTAATCAACCCTGCGTAACAAAACAATGAAATCGAGCGGGGGCGAGGTGATCATTAAGTTTGCTCCTCGTGACTCCATGAAAGAAACTCAAAACGTTTGGGTCTAATTCTGTGGTATCGCGTCTCTGTGAAATCGCAATTCTTCTGATTTCAACACGATGATCCCTCACACTCTGGACTTACTCCTGGACTAAGCTCTAATAACGCTTGACGGAACTCTAACTAACCTGGACTGAGACTCCTAACTCGACTGAACTCGGTTGAATTTTGGATTGAACTCGAGATTAGATCAGTAGACCGGATTAAACTCGACTGAGACACTGCTTACTCGATTAACTTACTGCGAACTCCTAGACTCGCGACTGAACTCGACTAGAACTCTACTAACTCAACTCACTTGAACGCAGAAATGAACCATCGAATTGTACAGAATTACGCACACCTCTCTTGCTTCACACCTAAAATTTCAACCTGTAACGATGAGTCATGATGCATGACTTCCTATTATTACCTGAATTCAGCATGACATTATATGTCAATCATGACATATGCTTCATCACCTATGACTTCATGAATTCCCATCATTTGTTGTAAACAAAAATATGAATCCTCAACAATTTCAAGATCAATGATTCACGCAAGAACCAGCGACTCCGGTAAGTGTGTCTGAAGAGTGTTGTAACCGGGTTGTGTTTAATGTGTTGTTTTTAATGTGTTGCGTTGTTATGTTTGGTGAATTTCTTGTGTTTGATTTGTTTTTAAGTGTGTTTATTTTTTTTAAGGGGTGTTTAATTTGGTGTTAGGTGTTGATGTGGTGGGGGAATGTTGTGTGTTATGGGTGTGTTTTATACGGTGTGTGTATGTACTACGGGTGGAGGGAACGGCTGGGTTCATCTGGTTTAAAGTTTTGGGTTGGGATTGGGGGGGTGAAATGGTGTTGTTTAGGGGGTGTTATTGGGGTAGTTATTGTGGTTGTTTACGTCTGGGGTTGCAGTAGCGGATGTTGTAGAGTGCGATGTTTTATGGGGTTGGTTTGAGATGTGGGTTTGGGGTGAATGTTTGGGTAGAAGGATGTGAAGGGGTTTATTTTTAGGGGGATTGTGGGGTGTTTTGGGGGGTGTATGGGGGGTTTATTGGTTTGTGTATCGTGTGTTGGGGTGGGGGGTGGTTTTTGTGAGTGGGTGTAGTGTGAGGGGGTTGGATGGTGGCTTTTGTGGGGGGTTGGGGGGGATGTGTGTGTGTATTGGGGGTTTAATTGGTGGTTTTGAATGTGTGTTAAGGTTGTGTTGTGGTGGGTTGTTATTGGGGTGGTTGTTGGGGTGGATTTGGTGGTTTTTTGGTGTTTATGGGTGGTATGGGTGTGTAGTGTGGGGTATGGGTTGTTTTTGTGGGGGATGGGGGGGTGGGGGGGGTAGGGGGTTGGTATGTGGTGTGTGTTGAGGTGGTTGGGTGGGTGGGGTTGGGATGGCGGGTCGGGGGGGTTAGGGTGTGGGGGATTGGGGGTGTGTATTGGTGTGGGTTGGGGGGGTAGTGGGGGTTGGTTGGGGGTGTTGAGGGGGGGGGGATAGGGGGGGGTTTGGGGGTGTTTGGGCTGGGTTTGGGGGGGTTGGGGGGAGGGGTAAGATGGACGGCGGGGGTTGTAGGGGTTGGGGGTGTTGGGGGGGGGTGTGGGGGGGGTAGGGGGTTGGGTGGGGTTGTGGAGGGGGGGTTGGGGGGGGGAGGATGGAGGGGGTTGGGTTGTGGTTGGGGGGGTGGAGGGGGTGGTAACAGGACTGGGCATTACCGAGGGTGGTGGGGGGGTGGTTGAGGGGGGGGGTTGGTGGGGTGGGTGGGAGGGGTTCAGGTGCGGGGTAGGGGGGTGGTGGGGGGGGTTGGGGGGTTGGGGGGGTTGGGTGGGACAACGCTGGGGTGGGGGGGTGTTGGGGGGGTGGGGGGGGTTGAGGAGTGGAGGGGGGTGGTTGTTTGGTGGTTCGGGGGGGTTGGGGTGGGGGTAGGGGTTGAGGGGGGTTGGGGGGGGATACGGGGGGGTGTGGGGGGGGTGGGGGGGTTTGGGGGGTTGGGGGGGTGGGGTTTGGGGGGTTTGGGAGGTTGGGGTTGGGGGGTTGGGGGGTGGGGGGGGGTTGGGGGGTGGAGGGGTTGGGGGGGGGGGGTGGGGGGGTTGGGGGGGTGGGGTATTGTGATATTTTGGGAGTATTTTTGGATAGAGTATTAAAATTGTAATTTTGTATTTGGATTTTTTAATAGTATTTTAATGATTGTGTAGAATGTTTGTTTATTGAGAAGAATAGGGTATAGAGAATTATTATTATATGTTTTTTTTGTTGAGATATTATTATGGGGTGGATGTGATTGGTGGGAGAGGAGGTTGAGGTAGGGTGTTGGAAGGTTGTGAGTGGGAAGGGGTGGGGGAGGTGATATGAGGGGATGATGGGGTGAGCGGATGTGTAGATTATATTATATGAATTCATATATATTTTTTAAATATGTTTATTATATATATATGATTTCTATCATATGTATTACACATATAGATATGATTTATATAATATAATTTTATATATATATATGATTATATATATGGTTTATATATATTTTATATATATGGTTTATATATATTGTTTAAAAAAATATGGGTTATATATATAAGATTTATAATATATATTATTTATATATATGGTTAATAAAAAAATGATTTAAATAAATATATTATATAAATATATGTTTATAATATATATGGTATAAATATAATGGTTTATAAGTATAATATATATATTTACTTTTATAAAATATGATTAATATATATTGGTTTATATATATATGATTGATAATATGGTTATAAATATATATGAATAAAATATCATGAGTATATAAATTATAAGAATTATCTTAAATAAGTTTATATAATTTATTAAATATATAATGTATCCAATAATAATGGATTTTATATAATAAAATAAATATATCTCTTTAATATCTACTTGATAAACTATCACAATTAAAAAACATTGAAAAACACTATCATTATAAAAAAACAATTGCTACTAAACGAATAATTACTAATATTAAACTCAAACTATTATTTATCTATATTTTATATATTATATAATTTTTAAACTAAATTAAACAAAAAGAATTACAACATGGTTAAAATATAATGAAATATAAAATTTTTACACAAACTGGTATATATCTAAATGATTTAACTACAATATGTCTAATATTATAAATGTTTTATATATATATTTAAGATATGATGGTTTAAAAATATATTATTATATATATGTATATAAATAAATGGTTACAAATATAAGGATTATAAATATATGGAATTATAACTATGTATAACACACAATATTTTATATAACATAAGTTCTATATCTAAAACTAACTAACATTAAACACACACAAAATCATTATTCAATATACACATTTGTTAAAAAAAATATAACACACAAAATGGATAAATATAAAAAGGTTTAAACATAAAAATTGAATCTATAAATAATTTAATATCCTAACAACAAAATAATCAACTCACAATAAACACTCAACACATTAACTCTAATCTATAAATCAATATCACTGATAAACTCTATTGTTTAACTATCACTTGTAAATCTATAATTTAAAATCAATCATCTCATGAAACTCATCTACATTTTTAACTATGTAATTTTACTCTAACTCAAATTATATAAACACTCAGAATCACAACTATTTACAGATTATCACTAAATTGATAAAAATCAACATGAATAACTATCAACTTAAAACACACACAAGTTTACATCACACACATATGTTATTCAACATCTTTAAATACTAACTAAATGTTTAAATAACTATGAATAATAAAAATCTTTATACAACAAAACAGCAGTTACATCACACAGCAAACAAAATAACTTTTAAATAACACACCCATGAATCACAACTAACATGAGTATTCCACTCTAATTTAATAAAACTAACAGTTTTAATAATCAAAACTCACTCACTTGATTACACCAAAAAAATACACACACACATTTTAACTACACACATTAAACACAACAAACACGTAATCACACGACACACTGTAGACACACACAATTCATCAAACACACACACTTATAAACTCAATCAAAAACACACACAGCAACGTTATAACCACTAATATGAAACACTCAACAGATAATATAATCACACACAATTATAATAACTAAATTGTTTATTATATATAATAGTTATACTAAATATACAATAACAACATATTATGTTATTAAAAAATAACACGGACACAACACACATAACCATAGTGAATCACACTCACGTAAAATAACACTTGAAAAACAAACAACATTTATACACCTCACATTATACACACAATTAAACTCACACATCATTAAACACAAACTCATTAAACATCTCTACATTAACATCAAAAATGTTACACACATATTACAAACAAACATGATAACAACACAATAATAAAAACAAACATGTTACTATAATACATAACAAAGGAGTCAACACAAACACGTATTCCAAACACAATTTAAAAACTCGTTACGTGCGCCTGGCTCGCTGCTAAATCATGAGTCCTGAAATATTATCGCATATGGTTGAGTACTACTAATGATTAAATCATTAAGTCAGCATGAATGACATCATAATCATATACTCATAATGTCATGATTCAGCATTCTTCATGAAGTCATCATCTTACATCATAGTTACAGTGCAATGGCGGCTGTATGCACAAGAGGATGTGACATAACTCTCCTCTACAAACTTAGAACCGCCTCATTATCCTGCCGGACCAAGTCTGATCGATTCTCAGTCAGAGTCTCATCCCCGATCTCAGCCCCCAAGAGTCTCACCCGATCACAGCTCCCCAAGTCCTCAATCCCGAATCCCCAATCTCGTCGAGTCTTATCCCAGGCCCTCAATCCGATCCTCAATCCTCGAGTCTCAATCCCAAATCTCCACCCGACTCTCTGTCCGATCTCAGCCCGATCTCAGTCCAATCCAACCCAAGTCTCCATCAAGATCTCATCCAGAGTCTCAGTCCAATCACAAGTCCAAAGGGACGACAATCCATCAGTTTTTGCCAAATCCCAAAACCAGTGAAATTCAACAGAAAGCCTAAACCACAGATTTAACAATACAGCTTTCTTGAGTCTTTACTTTTTACATGGAATCAATAGGACCAAACTTCACCATGAGCACTTTCATGATCATGTGCATTATGCATTGATATACAGGCTACAAAGGCAAACAGAAAAGGAGATTCAGTACATGTCATGAAGTAACGCCCGCCCCCACGGCACTGCGCTAACTCGTTCCTCCCTACTCGGAGGTACCTCTTCCTCCGGGCTACTGGTGGTACTTCGTTCCCCGGCTGACTTGGGTAACTCGTTCCTCAGTCACTGCGTGGGTACTCGTTTCCTCCGGATGACTGGTACAATCGTTCCTATCCTCCTCCGAGGCTGACTGTGTACTCTTCCTCCGGCTACTGTTACTCTTCCGCCCTACTTGCGTAACGTACTGAACGATGGAGCGCCACAAACAGAATGGATGACAGACCCTTTATGTGGGTTTGGCCTGATTTGCCCACAGGTTACCCTTTAGCCCTTAGCCCAGTTACCTAGTTTGCCTGGGTTGCCATTTTTTGCCCGCTTTGCCCGGTTTGGCCCGGTTTGTCTGAGTTTGTCCCTTTGTTTCCATTTTGGCCTATTATGGCCCGCTTTTGTGGGGCTGGTGTCGGCCTGGGTGAACATTCCACCTACTGTCTCTTTTTGCTCCACCTCAGTAAACACAAACACATAAACACACACACATTAAACACACACATTAAACACACACACAGAAACCAATACAAATTAAACACACACAAACTAAACACACAACACAACATTAAACACCACACATTAAACACACACACTAAACACACACATTAAACCACACACATTAATCACACACACTAACCACACAGTAAACACACAACACAGACATAAACACACACACACATAAACACACATTAAACACAAAACAACATTAAAAAGCACACATAAACACGACACACATTAAACACCACTCATTAAACACACTCACACATCAAACACAAACACATCAAAACACACTTTAAACACACACATCAAACACACAATTAAACACACACATTAAAACACACACACCCAACAACCAACACTTAATACACACACACACAGCAAACACACACTTCAAAACACACACAAGTAAACACACACAGAAAACACAACAGCATACACACACATTAAAACACCACACAACAAACACACACCATTAAACAACACAGCCAGTAATCACACACTCACAAACACACACAATAAACACACACATTAAAACACACATAAACACACACAATCCTCAGCAGATCTCCACCAACTCAGCCATCTCATCCGATCTCACGATCCATCCGATCTCAGCAATCTCAGCAATCTCACTCACCCCTCTCAAGCCGAGTCTCAAGGCCGAGTCCTCACCCACCGATCTCACAGAGTCTCAGCAAGTCCACCATCTCACCATCGCACGCCAGTCCAGCCATATCGCAGTCCGATCTCAGCCGAGTCTCCAGCCCGATGAAACTAAGCACTAAATCCACAATTAACCACAAACAGAGATTCAATCAGTACCGTCTGAATATCCCTCTTTTCCTCGACTATGAGACTCTCGTGCCTTCCAGTTTCACTGTAGGACTCTTCTTCCTCTCGACACCTTAGGACCTTCTTCCGGGCGACTGTTAGACGCTTCTGTCCTCGACCTGGAGCACTACCTTCTGGACAACTGACTACAAAGCTAATGAGAAGTCCCGTGTTCCGTCTGCCCTGGATTTTGGCCATATGTTTGGCCCGGCTTTGGACCCTAGTTTGACACAAGGCGGGCCTCCTACTTCATACTCTTTGCTCCCACCTCCTATGACCCTGCACAACAACAATGTGTTTTCAATTTTCTCAGCCAACAATAAAGAAAACTTCTTTGTCTACCTGATCGGACAAAGCCCGACGCTCCCTACCCCCAGCCGCAGCAAAACGCCCCCCCGTTTTTTCTTCCCCCCCCCCGTGACCGGCCGTCCTCTACCACTGACCACGCGCGACTTTCACGACACACACAAGACCTCCGCGACTACTACTGCTAATACTCTAATACTGCTGCTCCAACCCCACTTCTCTAATGCTACTGCTACTCAGCTCTAACAGCTACATCGCTCACACCAGTGTGTACAACTTCCCCTCAAAACTTTATCTTCCATTGGGTTTTAACCTAATTCAATAAAAAACTGAATATCTGAATATCTACTACTACTCGTCGACGGCACGACTATCAAACTAACTCGACTAAACACAACGTCTGCTACTCTCACTACCACTACGCTACACTAAATACTACTACTCTACAACTACTACAACTCTTCCTACTCATCTTCTAGACTTACATAGAAATAAATTATTACCCTGCCTCTCACTGCGCAGCGCTGCTTGATCATGGACCTGCAGCTGCCTATTGCACCAAAGAAACCATAGAACCAAATTCAATCACGAGTGTCTCCAGCGAAACACTCCTCAGACACAAACAACGATCACAGACACAGCACAGACACAAACCGGCCACAACACAGACACTCTCAGACACAGTCACGTCCACAACACTCACAGACAAACACACTCCACAACACAACACTGCAACAACCCTCGACACAGTCCACAGACACACAACTCCACAATACTCAGACACAACCACCCCACATCACGACACTCCACAAGACCAACTACGTCACATACCCCAGTCACTCCAACAACACAACACAACCGTCCAAAACACGATAATCGAGCGAAGTTTCCTCCTCCTCCCCAGGCACCCTATCCGACCTTACAAGTCATTCACGCTTGTTTTTCAACACCTAAAAGTCCCTGTCCCACTGTTCCAACAAGTCTTTCTTACATTTTGTATTTCTTCTTGTCTGCCATATTTTCCTCCCATGCTCAATTTCCTACGTCTAAAACCTTTCACAATAGACTCATAATAAGCAACCCCTAAAAGCCGCAAAAACTAACCTTCCTACATTACACATTTTTAAAATTACTCATAAATATCACTTCATCCTAAGCAATCCGTCATCATCAAAAGGTAATATTAATTATTAATGTGTTGCGTATGCGGCGAAACTGATAAAATTGCTATAGAAGTTCATAGCATTTTAATAATAGTTTATTCATTTCTTTAAAAACTAACTGTTTCCAATTTCACTGGACTGCAAAATAATCATAGAACAGTCAAGTCTTACTGTCTGACCGTTGTCTTTCATGTAGTGCATTTTAATATGGTCCATAAGTCACTAGGTTGCGTTAAAGAAGATCTTTGATTTCCAGCGGAATAACTGAAACTTTTAGCGACTAAAATTTAACTTCTGTCATCAAAAAGAAAGTTCCATATGAATCCTTTGTTGGACAATTATGTGCTCATTACAGGTCTTCTATGTTTACACCTGTCCAACCAAAGCAGAAGATGCTTGTACACATTCCAACCAACAAGAGATTCATGGTTTTACACTGTCCAACCAAGAAGCAAATTCATGTTTACACCTGTCCCAGACCAAGCAGAGAGGATTCTGGATTTCAACACTGGTCAGACCAGAGCAAGAATTCAATGTTTTACACTCGTCCTACAAAGCAAGAGATTCCATGTTTTAACAACTTCCAGACCAAGCAAGAGATACATAGTTTTTCAACACTGGTCCTACCAACAGAAATTCATGGTTTTACACAGGTCCAACCAGTCAGAAATGCATTTTTACACTTCCAGACCAAGCAAAAGGATTCAGCGTGACCACCGGTACACACAAGCAAAGATTCATGGTTGTACACCGTCCAACCAACAAGAAAATTCCACTCTCCTCTACTCCTGCTGTATCTCCATGACCTGTTCCTTATTATTATAATTTTTCAGTAATTGTTAGAACCTCCTGTAGACACCTAACTCACTTACGTCCTAACTCCGTAGTCCTGAACTCATAAGATCCGAACTCCTGGACGTCCTGAAACTCCTGTATCCTAACTCCTTAAGTCCTGAACTACCTGTAACTGTCCCTAACTCCTGAGTCCTAACTCCGTGGAGTCCGATCATCCTGTATCCTGAACTCCTGCATCCTTACACTTATCCCTAACAGCGCTTAGTCCCCTGAAACTCCTTATACTCCTGATCTCCCTGATCCTAAATCCTTATCCTAACTCCGTAATCCTAACCCGGAGCCTAACTCCGACATCCTAACCCTGTAGCCTAACTCCTTGAGTCTGAACTCCTGTAGTCCCTAACTCCGGTAATCCAGAACTTCCCTGTAGTTCCTGCCAACTCCTGTTAAGTCCAAACTCTGAGGCCTGACTACCTTGAGTCCTAACTCCTGTGTAGTCCGAACACCTTAAAGTCTACCCTTTTCATATGCATATATTTTATTGGCCCATTTGCTAAAACTAACATTGGAATAAATTTGCAAAGTTTCAGCATCCTGCGCTCATCAATGATAACTTCTGCCAGAAAAGAAGCTGAAAAATGGCTTTCTTCCCATCCGCCTGAATCTCATATATTTCGAAAGAGTTCTGATTAAAAGTCAGTTCATTTCATTCATTCATTTTATGTACATTATATCAAAAGTAACAAACTTGTCCCCATTCATTTTCAGGATACAAAACTCACCAAAAATCACTTCAAGAAATAAACACAACAACAAAATCATCAGTTCGTATCACCCAAAACATCCGCAAAACTTCCAGATCGACTGTGACACATTCTTTTTTAAATACAAAGAAAATTCTACCTGTAACTTTCATTTCTCTGCGAGTTTGCAACAGCTGAGCCCTAACCCCAGACATCGCAGGCCGTAGGCTCTACTGTTGCGGAAAAATTAATTGTACCTGTCACCACTTAAACTATATCTATTTTTTAAATAAATTAAAATACTTTTGAACATGGAAGCCGACCTTCATACCTTAAAGTTTCTGCATTTGTGTTCATTGCTTCATTCTCGCGTAAAAACACAATCAAAGGTCTTAACACAGACAAATCGGTCCCAAGACTCAAAGCACATATTTAGCATTACTTTTTTTCCCTCGAGTATCGATACACAATTGAGAAACAACAACACTGTGAACAGAGAGACATTAGGACAGATGATCGAGATAACAGCGTCGAGCTCCGACACCTGTGGAGCTCCTCTCACTCACTCTGAGCGCGCATCGCTAGAACCATCACTGAAACACAACAATATGAGGATGTACATCACCACATTGACATCTACCACAATACTTCACACAGATGGACATCACCTCATGTGACATCCCCACAGAGGACATCACCACAAGTACATCACCACATGTACAGCACCACAGAGTGACATCACCCACAGTGATAATCAACCACATATACATCACCACAGTGCTACATCACCACACATACCATCCCCTCAGTACACACCACATGTACATCACCACACATGTACATCACCACATTACAGCACCTACAGTCATCACCTCAATGAACATCAGCCCACACATCTGACATCTCAATTACAGCACCAGCATAAACAACACCACAACGCGACATCAACACAGTGACATCACAGTGTGACATCACCACAGTTGACAAATCACCAATTTGACAGCACCACAAATGTACATCACCCATGGACAACAACCACATGTACATCACCACAAGTGACATCAACCACAGTGTGACATCTAGTGTAGACAGAAATTTTATACATACCTGCTCACTTCCCTTCAATACATTTCCTTTGGATGGCGCTTTAATAGAATTGTCACAGAACCTCCACGTTACACCTTGTCACAGAACTTCACTACCCGTGTATACAGACTCCCACATTACTACCTTTTTACAGACCCATCACATTACACCTGTTCACAGACCTCCTCACATTACACTCTGTCACAGCCTCACATTAAAACCGTTACAGACCTCTCATTACACTGTGTTACAACCTCACATTACACCGTTTACAACCTCACGTACACCTTGTTCAACCTCACATTACACCTCCGTCACAGACCTCACATTACACCTGGTACAACCTCACATTACCCTTGTACTCAAGACCCTCACTTACACCCTTTTACAAACCTCACCACATTACACCTGTTTTACAACCGCACAGTACAACCCTTTACAGACCTCACATGTCACCTTGTTTACATCCTCACATTACACCTTGCTACAGACCTCACATTACAACCTTTTTACAGACCTCACAGTACAAATCTCTTTACAGTTCCGTCACATTACACCTTTATACAGACCTCACAATACACCTTGTTACAGCGACCTACCAACATTACACCTTGTCTACAGACCTCACATTACACCTGTTTACAACTCACATTACACCTGTGTTACCATATATTATAAATATAAAATAATTCCCCCCCCCCGTCTCTGTTCAAAAATTTGTGTATATTCACTCAACTGAGAAACTACCTTTATAAAACAAAAAGTTCCTCCGTTCGCGGAAAACACTGGGTTCATGTACAAAGATCTTATTATATTTTCCTTATAAATATAATCCTTGTTACTGTCCCAAACACACAGTTA